TGTTCTATTGCGCAGTAGGCGTTATAGCCAATACGAAAAATGAACTTACAGGCACAATCCACACATTGGATTGTGCTTACAGGGTTGTTATTTTAGGCAGCAGTGTTACCTACAAATCCTTATTTGCATAAAAAGTGAAGGTAACGTCGTGCAGGATAAATAAAATTTTACTTGATGTACCTAACTGCACCAAAAATGAGTATTTTATTCTAAAAAAAAACAAATAATTTGAAAAATACAGATAAAATCTGGCAACATCTCAAATGTCAGTTTCTTGCTTTACTTTTATAGCGCCTGTATTAAACAACTTTACAGAACCTAAATATCGTATAACGCACGCGACAGAGCAGATAAATTGTATAACGTTTTTATAAAGACAAAACCATTTTATAACAAAAACGCCATATTTATTGACCGATTAATTGTTTATAAATCGCCGCCATTGTGTGAATTTTACCAACAAACGTTAAAACTGTCAATTAAAAATGAATTTTCTTGAAAAAAATTAATGTAATCTTAAGACTAGTCAATTATAAACTGAACAAATAAAACAATAATATTCTTAAAAAACATGAAACTTTGTCAAATAAAAAATTAATTTTTTTTTAAATAATTTTTAGTAGGTATGTTTGTTAACTGGCGCTTTAATTTTTCGTTAAAAATATATACATATATTGTCAGAAAAGATTGCTCCGCAGGAAGATGTTGTCCTCGATAGCGTAAATCTCAAAGGTTTAATAATTATATTTACATAATAAACAACAAGCACCATTTTGGATCTTAGCCGTTTGACATCCAACATAATTCGCATTATAAAATAGTCTTAGGATAAAAATTTCCCACTCCATTCCTAATTTCTAGAGAAGGAAACAAATTGATGTTCTTATAACGATTCTGTCGCATTATAACATACTTATAAAATGCTTGTTTTAATATTCTATAAATATTCGTAAAGTGCAATTAAGCTGCAGAGTAAAACCGCTATAGTATAATCGTATAGCAGTTCCCCAGTATACTGATACTGAGTTTTATAAGGGTTGTGTAGTGTATTTATATAACTGCTAACGAAGTAAACTGTTTTATAAAACGGGGCCCTTTTTGGTTGAGTAAGTGTTGTATAGTAGTTTTTAAACGCATTATACAATTTTAGCGTTTCTATAATATGTGTTGTATAGCAGTTCTAACAACACTTACATAATCAATTTTGTTAGCTGGGTTGCTCTTCGTTAGATGTGGTGGAAACTTCCTCCATTTTTACCAAAAAAATGCTTGTTACTGCTTCTACTTTAAATTATTAACTAGACCGATTGATGCTACATGCGAACCAATTAACACCAGTAAATGTTTACAATATAGGTAAACATACCTACGTTACTAAGTTAAAATAAAATTCGGTTTATTTTTATCATATGTTTTATTATGTTTGAAAATCAGTTTATTGTTAAATCCATCAATGTGGCTGTTAAAATACATTAAACATTTTAAACTAACTGATTGTGTGAGTATATAAAATTACTACCACTATAACTAAATAAAATTCTAAAAACTTTGTTCAGCATATTAGTATGTCCAGTGGACATTATCCACCGGTTGGTTTACAAAGAGAAACTTATTTATTATTTTTTATTTATTTTCTTCAAATCCTTAAAAGTCATCTTGCTTTTACTTTATAATTTACACAGGGTGTCCCGAAATTGGCGGCCCGAAGGTTAAGGTAATTTTTATATTTTTTTAGGCCAGCACTCAGACTCAGCCTTTTAAATTAGCGCTTGCGACACACACACCGAATTTGTTTTTGTGAATATCAGCGTCCTTTGTAAACACAAAAAAATTATTTACTATAGATTTACTACATGGTAAAAAATCAAATCACCAAAATTTTAGTAATTTATTGTTTCCATTATATTTAAAAATTATGTTAAATCTATCTAAAACATCTTCTACCAAAAACGCTTCTTTTGTGAAAAACGCCTAAAAAGGAATAATATAGTTATTGTATATTTTGAATTTAATAAATTTGGTTTTAATAGTACTTAGTAAATTTTGCATGCCAATTATTTGATTTTCAGTCCTACCCCAAAAACAAAAATCAGTTTCAACAAGTTCTTCCAAGCTTCTTAATCTAGGAAAATAAATATTTAAAAAGGTAACTTGTGTTTAAAAAATCTAAATAGTAGTGTTAATATTACTTACAATTGTCTTGTCACTTTCTTTCTAAAAACATTATTTACATCTACATGAAAAAATATTTTTTTTTATGAAATTATATTTACCGACAACCTCTTGAGCTGAAAATAACATTTTAGAATAACATAAAATAAACCAAAATTTTAATCCTCTTTCTGGTATCGCCATTTTCCTATAGGGTGACCGAAACAAACGAAATTCTCTTAACAATTTTTTTTCGAATTCGCCAAATTGTAGGAGATATTTCAGTTTTAAAGCCATTATTTATTTTATCTATAAGGCAGGGCTCGCCTACTAGAGCAGAAACATTGGCGGTCTTCAAAATTAAATAGGTAACTCCCCGAATTCAAAAAAATTGTAGAGGAAATTGTCTTAGATTTTCTCAAGGATTAAATCCCTTTCGTTTGGTCCGGTGAGTTTGGGATACCCTGTACTGCCGTGCTTAATGAAAACGCCGTAACCAACAATTTTGCAATTTTTGTTTTACGGCATTTTCTACTAGAAAAATTCATCCTGCGTCAATCCCCGGTACTCAAAAAGCTGTATCTATATATATACGGTTTTTTGAGTACCGGGGATAGACGCAGGATGAATTGATCTAGTAGAAAATGCCGTAAAACAAAAATCGCAAAATTGTTGGTTACGGCGTTTTCATTAAGCACGGCAGTGTATATTTCAATGTTTCTAAAGTCTGTATTACAGCCTGCAATTTTTTTGCTCCAATATTTCTTTCAGCAATTTTTCTTGCATGCAAGTTTCAATTGCTGACTGTAATACACTTCTCAATTCCAATTCCAACTTGCATGATACCAACCAAAGAAAAATATAAAATACTATAAAGTGCAATTTAAATTAAACTTATAATATATATTATGTAATAGAATTTAGAATACAAAGAAACAACAAACAAATATCTTTAAAAAAACAAACCAGCGTCTCTAGGGAATTTAAAGTGTGGATTGGTGTGAAAAAAGTTTCAAACTTTCCCCAGCATGCATCTGGCAATAAAAATCGATCAGGACCAATATTTTGAAACGGAAATAGACTTGCACGAAACGTCGCTATGCGCATGCAAGATTATTACGTATTGCACGTATTTCGGTGATTAAAAAACTCGGAATTTTCCAAACAATATTCAGTTAAAGATTGTTAAGGATACGAGAGTAAAATCGGATCCCAATGTTTCTGTAAATTCATTAGTCGGCATTTTCGAAAGTTTCATTAGCTTCGGAGTAATTCCGACTGTAGCTGCAGCTTATGACGAATAACTGCTAATTAATTTGAATATAGTAGATACTAGCCATTTGTGATACATTGCCGCTCTGAGCGGAGCGCGGCTATCTCGCGAGAGCGGCAATGTCACTTTGCGCTCGAATTACACACAGGATTTTTTCTACAAGCGGTGTTTCTATAAGCATGTTTGGTAAAAATTAATAATTATTGGTAACCTTAAATTTGACGTTTGTGTCAAAAGTCGCTCGGCGAGCGACAAAGTAAAAAAACGCTCGCTCCTCGGAAAAGTGTAACTTTGCGCTTTCTTTTGAAAGCACAAATTTGTACTTTTCGCTTGGTTGTAGAAAAAAAAATTCCTCATATATTTTGGGAAGACAACCCTTATTATTAGGCAAATGTGATGGAAATTTGGAAGTTATTGCAATCTTTTTTGTAGATATTTAAAATAATAAATAGTCAAGTCAGTGAAATTTTAGAAACTCTGCTTTTTGTCTTATTTCATTTTTAGTCACAAAATTTTGGTTTTGCCAAAGTTAATTTGAATATATCGATGACTTTTTTAGTCAGTAAGTAAATTCGAATCTTTATCATTTGATAATTTTTTAAAGTTTCGATATTTTTTCGTAAATTTTGTAAATGCCGACTAATGAATTTGTTTCAGAATTTTTTTACAATTTTCGTTAAATTGAGCATAACTTTAAAAAATGATACATTTAATGGAATTTGTATAAGTCATGGATTATACTGTACCAAGTATTTCGGTTTTTAAAAAAATATAAAATCAATCTAAGAAATTCGTATAAGAAATCAGAACCTTCGCTACGCCCCTGATCCTAATTAAAGATGGTAAAATTTACACCAATGTTTATTTAAAAATGTTTCAAACATTGTATGATATTGGTAAACACAAAAGAAAAATCTATTGAATCCAACTATTAATTAAAATAATATTTGGATTCAATAGATTTTTTTTGTGTTTACCAATATTGTCTAATATAATTTAAAAAATAAAATATTGTCTGGGCCAATAAATAAACTTGACGCCCACACTTTTTGTTAAAAAAATTTGTCCATTGTGTTTATTTATAAACAAATAAGTATTAATAATTCAAATAATACTTATCCTCTACTTACCATATTGGATCTTTAGGGCAACTAAAAAAATTAATGACATTACAAGTATACATTTAATGGAGTAAAAGAGTGGTTAACTTAAGTTAATTAAGATATTAATCTACAGGGTGCGATAAAAGTTTTTGTAATTTCGGAAAGCGTCTTTGAAAATAAATATGGAGCACATTTTGAAAATAAAATATAATGTAAATTTTTAATCAAATATAAATAATACTATTTTAAATAAAGTTTGTTTTCATTTTTAAGTATTTGCTTAAATGTGATAAAAAAGTGCGGTAACTTTTATCCCACCCTGTATATTAGAAATTAGTTATTATCCATTAGTATTCAGTTATAACTACTCGTTTACACGAGATAACAAAAATACATACCGTTTGGGAGGTTTATAATCATTATCCTCAACCTCTTCGAGTTTGCTAAAAAATACGATCATGAAATTATTTTAGGAACTTGGTTTAGACATCACAGATGCCCAAATCACTGAAATGCAGAAAAACATCCACAACATTGATTTTGATGCGGCCGCAGCTGAAGAAAAGCTGACGAGACACGATGTTATGGCCCACGTTCACGTTTTCGCCAAACAATGCCCCACCGCAGCCCCAATAATACATCTGGGAGCCACTTCCTGCTTTGTTGGAGATAACACTGATCTAATCATTCTTAGAGACGGTTTGGATCTGTTGATGCCACGTGTAGCTGCTGTAGTTCAGAATTTGGCCAATTTTGCCCAACAATACAAGTAAATAGAAATTGTGCTTTATTTTTAAATGATTTAAGCCTTAGTAAAAAAGGGTATTTTATTTAGGGCGGCGCTTTTTTAAATAGAATAGTTTGATTTTAAAATTTCAATCTTTTAAACTATTTTAACGATGAGAAGGAGTCTGTAAAAAGCAATTGATTCATTTTTTCGTCCAGAAACTTTTTTTTTACCAATGGATTAATGGTTCTATCCAAAAGTAGCAAAAGGTAATCGATCAAAATGGAGCATTGTAATTTTTGTTATTTAATTTATGTTAAAAAATCGGTGAACTTTTTATAGTACCCATTATAATTTTTTTGAGAAGTACATCAATACCATTTATTTTAGAACATCTGTAAACGCTGAACCCAGTCACGTTTAATGTTGGTTGAAATAAACGTCACAACTAAAAACTGCGACGTTCCTATTAAACGACTCTTTATTATACTTGCAAGAAAAAATGTTGTATATTGGTTACAATGATTTCTTTCATTGTAGGTCTTTACCAGCTTTAGGTTTCACTCATCTCCAACCAGCTCAGTTGACCACTGTAGGTAAAAGAGCTACCCTATGGCTTTTCGATTTTCTCATGGACGAAAGGGCTTTACGTAGAGCTAGAGAAGACTTGAGGTTCCGCGGTGCCAAAGGAACCACGGGTACACAGGCTTCTTTCATGCAGCTATTCGATAGCGACAGTAAAAAAGTACGCGCTTTGGATCAAAGAGTTACCGAACTTTGTGGATTCAATAAACTGTACCCTGTGACAGGTCAAACTTATACTAGGAAGGTTGATGTTGAAATTGTTGGTTGTTTGTCATCTTTAGGTGCTACCATACATAAGATGTGCAGTGATTTGAGGTTGTTGGCCAATATGAAAGAAATCGAAGAACCATTCGAAGCTAGTCAAATCGGTAGCTCAGCCATGCCATATAAAAGAAACCCCATGAGATCTGAAAGATGCTGTGCTTTGGCTCGCCACTTAATGGCTTTATATTCCAATGCAACCAATACGCACTCGGTGCAGTGGCTTGAAAGAACTTTGGACGATTCAGCCAATAAGCGCCTTACATTATCAGAAGCCTTCTTAAGTGCTGACGCAGCCTTACTAGTACTAATAAACATAACTCAAGGCCTAGTAGTGTACCCCAAAGTAATCGAACGTAGGATTAACCAAGAGTTACCTTTTATGTCCGCGGAAAATCTCATAATGGCCATGGTAAAAAAAGGCGGTGACAGACAAGTGTGTCATGAAAAAATCCGTGTACTCTCACACGAAGCCGGTGCCCAAGTTAAACAACATGGCAAAGACAACGATTTTCTAGACAGGGTGCGTGCTGATCCCTACTTTAAACCGATATTGGCCGATATCGATAGCCTACTCGATCCTTCAACATACATCGGTCGTGCTGCAGAACAAGTCACAGAGTTTTTGGAAGAAGAAGTTCAACCTGTTTTGAGTCAATACGAGAAAGTATTAAAGTCTCAGAACAAACCCGTCACGTTAAATATTTAATTGTTATTGTTTGTATATAAGTAAAAATATATTTTTACCACAATGTTTGAACTTACTTGTCCTCATCCAAATCTGTTGAATCTTTTCGTTTCTAAAATAATTATTAAAAAAAAAGGATTGTTTTATTGGGAAATGTTACTGATTGTGAAGAAGCATTTTTCATTTCCTTCGATTTTGTTGATGATCCAGAGGCTCTACTTTGCTAAAATTTAAAATATAAGTTTACAACAACGTTTTTTTAAATTTTACAAACCGTTTCTATGCTTTTTTTTGGAAGATCCCTACAATTACAAGAATTGTATTAACATATAAACACAAAGTTACAACATACGATTCATTGGAAGACGATTTTCTATTGGAACTGCTTATAGATGCCTTTAAAATAAATAATTTTTATTTTATTTTTGTAATATTGTAACTAAATGACATTAACTTTTTTAGGTATTTCCAAGTCTTCTGTGTCGATCAATTTTTCTTGACTTGTTTTTGTAAGATCTCTACAATTACAAAAAAATATATATAAACATTTCGGGTGGTACCATATACCTATGCTGTACGCTTCACGAAAGATTGGCGGTCTTAAGAATGTAATGCAATCCTCCATTTCTATAAAACGGCCAACTCTATTGGTATCAGGCTATTGCATACTTGCCTTATTGCATTTATGTAATAAACCCTAGCGCGATACTGATCAAGAGTTGGCCGTTATATGGAAACCCTATTAAAAATGCCATATAGAAACACAAAATAAAAATCTATATGGTTCTATCTGGTTCAATATAGGAATTTGAAACAGGCATTGCACTATTGAACCAGATAGAATTCCATACCTGGAAAACCATATAGAAAAGTGATTTCTATATGGATTGCCATATAGGTTCATATTGCTCTATCTGGCCCAATATGGTTTGGGTGGTGAAAAAATTATTACCATATAGATCCATATTTAACCATATAGGGGAATCTATATGGTTTAATATGCAATTTTCGTTTAAATTTATATACATTTTAAAATGGAATTCCATATTCAACCATATAGGGAAACCTATATGGAAAGACACATAAAACAGAAACCAGATAAATCCATATAAAAATCCCTAAGTTGTACATTTTAAAAGGAAATTCCATATTAAACCATATAGATTCCAAAGTGTAAACCAGGTCGTTCCATATAGGACATATAGAACCATATAAATCCATATTAGTTTCCTTATCTGGATCAATATGGGTTCTATAGGGCATTTTTAATAGGGAACGTATGATTGTACACATTTCTAAGACCCCCAATCTTACGTGGAACGCATAGTAAGATGTGTTGGTGAATATGAAAAAAATCAAAAAACAATTCATATTCAGTACAGTGGCTTGAAAGAACTCTGGATGTATCACCCAATGAACACCTTACATTATCAGAGGCCATCTTAAGCACTGACTCAGTTATCCCAAAGTAGTCTTGGCCTACATGAGAGAGAATGAAATATAACCATAGTTGTCATGTTGTCAGGTATTATTATTAATTATAATAAATAACATTATGATTTACTTCTTATTTTTTTATTATTTCATATATATTAGGGAGGAGCAAAAAAACAATATTTTTTTTAGTGTCATGTGAAAATTTGTTACTTTTTTATGTTTTAAGAAACCTCACCAAAGATGAGCTAAAAAAAGGGTCGCTCAAGATTTTTTAAATTTCCAAAATCGTCACAAATCAAATTTTTTTTGTTGTTTAAATTTTTTTCTCGATACGGTAAAATTTTATATATGAAAAAAAATAGGTTTCTCAAATTTTTGTCTTAAAATATCAATTCTTAAAGGCTGCTCATAACGCCGGCTTAACATGGTGTCAAAATAGAGAACTAGCAATTTTGCTGCGTCGGTTAAAATATACGAAAAAAGAACAAAAATAAAGAAAAATAATCGTATTATTACTTGCAAAGTATCAAGTTATTAAAAAATTATACAGGGTGTCCCAAAAGTCAACGATATCCTTTAAAGGACTGACAGGACAACTCATGACCAATAAAAAAACTAAACATGACCTTGGTAAAAGTCGCTGGAGAGATATTGGCATTTTTATGAATTTTTATTAATTTTGTAAAACTTAACACCTTAGATCGGTTTTTCAAATGCCACAGCTACAAAATTCCATCAAAATTTAAAATTTTAATGAATGAATTCATTCTTATTAATTTATAGCAAAAAAAGAAATGTTTATTTTGAAATAAACTAAATTAAAAATAACAGAAACTTATAATTAAAAATAAAATTACAATTTTTTTTTAACATAAACCCATTAGAGACTCTAATTTAGAGTTGCTCGTGTTAACCAGGAATTTTGATAAAAAAAAACTAGACGGCAATGATAAAATTGAATTACAGTGAATTGGAATTTCAATTTTACTGTGAAACGATAAAGCTGCTGCTTATTTTAAAAATATGGATTTTTCCAGATTTTTGGCCTACTTTTTTTCTCCAAAAAGAAGTGACGCCACTGCTAGTAGTATAATAAAAACCCTAATTTATAATCATTAAACGTTCCTTTTAGATACTTGTTATTATTTGTATAGGTACCTAAAAGTTATATTAAACTAAATTAATGAATTCCTTCACTTGCCTATCGGCTCGCTAAGAAACTTTTGTCTTCGGGAGTAATTGCTATGATTCCACGCTCGGTAAACACCATACTTTTTTGTCGAGTGGAATTGCTTACAAATAAACAATTTGGGTACCGTAAACACGGGTGACTTTGCACCCCGCGGGTGACTTTAACCCATTTATGAAAAATCTTTTCGCGCTCGATAAAATTAACATTTATAATTTGTTGGTCTAAACCTGTCAATTGAGCGATTCTATTGAGTTTATATTACAGGAAAATCAGTGTTTTAAAGAAAGAAATGGGATTTATTATACTTTAAAATTGCATATATCGCATCAGTGCAAAACTCTTAAAAATACACGCGTTACAATTTCTATATTATGCGCAATCCATTGGAATGATGATCCTTGGTTAACTACAGGTCGATTTTTTATTTTTTTAATCGGTAATCCCTTGCAATAGATATATGTCGCTGCTAACACGTGTCTAATAAAAATAAAATAAAATATTGAGTTAATTTTATACGGAAAATACACTGTGAGACAAAGTAACCCGTTTTTAATTTTTATTTTTGAAACTCAGCCCTATGTAATATTATAATATAGTTATTATGAAAGAGCAACTCAAGACTCAAATTTTGGTATACAAAATTTAATGTTTATGATTGTTAAAACCACAAAAATTTTAAGCTTAAGTTTGAAAGTGAGCTAAAGCCACCCGTGTTTACGGTACCCGCAAAAAACTTGTATTAAAATTATATTCTGACGTTTAATTAAATTCTGACAAAGTCAATAACACTGTAGCGTCGTCATGGTAGCAGAAGGAAATAAAGCACTTCCTACCTGATAACAGGGAGGGAATAAAAATATATACAGGGAAAGGAATAGGATTGCTCACAGCGGAAAAAATAAATGTCATTAATTATTTACAATTGCGAATACAATCAGCGCATTATTAAACACTTGACATTAAAATATATTTTTATCATATTGTTTTCACTTACTTCTCATCCTCATCCAAAAATGTTGATTTTTTTTTATTCTAAAATGATAATGTTAAAAAACGAATTTTGCATTGGGAAATGTTACTGATTGTGAAGAATCATTTTTTGTTTCCCCTGTTTTTGTTTTGCCGTTTTTGTGTATTTCTTTTGATGGTCCAGAGGATCTAGTTTGCTAAAATTGCAATATAAGTTTAGCGTTATTTTTTTGAAATTATACAAACCGTTTCTATACTTGCTCTCGTAATATCTCTACAATACAAAAAATATATTAACATATAACCTAATAAATTGTACACCGTACGATTCATTGGAAGACGATTTTCTTTCGGAACTGCTTGTGGATGCCTTAAAAATATATAATATTTATTGTTCGAATTATTTTAAATAATAATATTAACGTCTTTAGTTGTTAGTTCCAAGTCTTCTGTATCAATACTTAATTTTTCTTTAAATTTTTTCTTTGGTTCTCTACAATTATAATGAAATAGGAATACCAACATTTTAGCAAATGCCAAATAAAAACGTACGATTCGTCGAAAAACTGTGGTGATTTATATGAACTGCTTTTTAAGGCCTTTAAAAAAATGTGATTTTTTTTTGTATTATTTTAAATAAATAATATCAACCTGTTTAGTTGGTTTTAAGTCTTCTATGTCATCATGCGTTTGTTCCCTTACAAAAATATTGCTTTATTATTTTAATTAATTTTATTTTATATTAAATACTTTTTATTCTTTGATCTTGAAGATCTTGAAACTTGTGATCTAAAATAGAATAATAATAAAACAAGTTTAAAAAAATATATATTTTTAACCTTCTGGCCGAATCGGCTGTTATTTCCTGTTCCCTATTATTATTAAAATTAAATATTTTGTTTAAATTATTTAAGCTAAATATACTTATCATCACATATTCCAGCCCTAAAATGCATTAAATTTAATATATTTTTATGATTTTGATTTGATTTCTTACGGTTTAAGTTTTATAAGAATTCTTGACGTCTGACTATGTATTACAAATCTTAAAATATTTAAATAATATTTATTTGTTTTTCTTAGTAATAAACAATATTAATAAATTTACTGTTCGTGTATATCAGTTCCTTTATCTTCACCCACCACGTGTACCTCCAGAATTCTATTACATGAATTGTTTATTTTTATGTAGATAGTTTTAAACAAATAAAAATTACCCTGTACATTGTTCATTTCTAAAAAAAGTATTAAAAATTTAATTTTAACTAACATTTATTTAAATTTACTTATCGTTAGGTTTTAGAAGTGATGATCTGCTGTCGCTAAAATATTGCAATGTTTAATCATATTTTTTTAATAATTAGTAATAACCTGTCGCTTTCCATGGTTTTTATATCTCTAAAATATTATATTTAAGATAAATTAAAACGTAGCCATTAATTTTCTTACGGCAATGTTTGAATACT